TTTGAAAAAAACATTAAGGCTGCTTAAGACCATAAATTTGGAATAAATGAATGACATAGTTCTTAGGTTATTGGCGACCTATAAAATCAATCAAAGATGACCATAAAATTATGTAAAAATTTACCAGTTATTTTGACCTCAGTCCAATTTTCAGGGCATATATGCCCTAAAACTAAAATTTGAATTTGTTCTATTTTTTTATCATTTGTTTTGTTTTTTATTTTTTTATTTGTTTTTAAATAATCTAATTAAAATTGTTACTAATTACAGCTAATTAAAATTGTTTCTGCCTAACATAGTTTTTGTCCATAACACTGTGCTTGTGAACTGGAAGGTTATGTATTCTCTTAAGGTTAATTAATTTAAATGACCCATATCCTTCCACTTCATAACGATAATAATTTGAGCAAAATGTTGTGACAAGTTTTGAACAAAAATGTATGTTTTTCCTTCTAATTAAATAATGTCTTTTATAATATATATATTTTTTTATCAAAATCAGAAGTTTTTACAATACGTAAACCATTTTGCCGAGGTTAAATCTTATAGCTTAACACTATAGTGTTGGCTATGTAGTTAGACAAATGGAGCCACCTAAACTCCTTTTGTTTTGAGGGGAATATTAAGTTTTTAAATTTGTTAGCTACTCAGCAACGGGTATCTAATAGTAGACTAACGACTAAGCCGTTTTTTATTGTTTATTTCGAAAATCGGGATACTAAATCGAGCGACAAAAGGCAGTCATAAAAGCATATAATTAAATTAGGTAGCTGCAGGTGATGCAAATTTTGTTTCATTTAATATTTGATCATTTTTGAAAGAAAAGGGTTCATAAATTTGGCCAATTCTTATTTATTGCGTTGTCCGCAATTGTTTAAGTTTTGCAATACCCAAAGTGGGCTTTTCCAATAACCAAGTTAGAATTATTAGGTCAGATTTTGAACTCCCTTGGGGGAATTGACTTTTATGCTTCAGCACACACACACACACACACTTTCTCTCAGGTTCCATAAAAGAGGCCCCATTCGTACGTAACCATTTCCCACTTTGCATTCAAGTTTTCCATTTCCGCTTTGGCGCCTTTTCCCTGCCACCAGTTTCTGCCGTCGCCAGTCCCAGTTGCATAATATTTTATTATCCCCAACGCCTATCTGCATTGTCCCGGCACAACAGTACACCGCCCCCCGGAAGCCACCACTTTCATTGCCAGTTATCTGCGAGTATCCGTGTGCCAGAATCATAATCTTACAGGCCCTAACAAGTGCAAGGGCGGCTGGAATTTAATATAACGAACGCCTTTGTTGTCCTCCTCGCTGGTTTGTTGGTTTTAAGTTTTCGTGTATTTCATTACGAGGGAGTTGGGATTGGAACTGGTATTGCGATTGGGAATAAGGATCGGGCTTGTGTGCCGCTTGCCACATTCAGCAGAAGCTTAAATCCTTTATACAAGCTGTTTGCCGCGCATAACGAAATAAAATAAATAATCCCGTTTAATGGCAAGGCCCCGGGAATGAGCGGCACAGTCGGAGGCTCCAGTTTGCCCCCATCACCAGCCCAAGCTCCATCCCCATCCCCATCCCCATCTCCATACCATTTCCATCCGAGCCCCAACAATGCCACCCGGCATCGCATTTCCTTTCCAATTTTCCTCGCCTGTGCCTGTGCCTGTGTCTGTGTCTGCCGGTTTTTTCTTCTGTAGCTCCTGGTGATTCTGCTCCTTTTCAGCTCCTTTTCCCTTTTCATTTCTCGTCGCTGTTGTGCACACGTACGCGGCTTAAGATTTCCCATTCATATCGTGTGCGGTGAGTGCTGCTGTTCCAAACAGGGATGCAGACGGCTCTGAACCAAACTCATCTGAACTGCTCATCCCTGCTCTTAAAGAACGGAACTATGAACGGAACTATACTAATTAATAATTAAAGTAATTATCATAGTTTTCAAACACCAGGGGTTTACCTGTTAATGTCGCAGAATTTCGTTTTCTTGACCAATTAACTTAAACCAGCATTTCTTAAGGGGTATTCTGATCTAGAAATTAAAAAAAAAACCTTTGCTTTTTTGCATATGTTGAATGTTCATAATTTTAAAAATATGGTCCTTAAAAGATTATTCAAAAATCGGATTATTTTAGGAAATACATTTCATTTCTTTTTATTTTATTTGAAAAAATGCCTAAAATTCAGGCTTCTAGACCAGAATACCCCCTTAAAAGTACTATTCCTCGATCGATAAGTTTGATTAGGTACGTTATTACTTTATTTATTTATTACTTACACTTTTGTTCGTAGTGCGTATTGATTGTAGCCAAATAGGTAAGGGCAACCTAAACCGGTTCATGATTATTCCATAAGCCACTGAGCAGAACATTTTCGAACCGGCTGTACCCCTGATCTTTAAGGAGAATACATCTGCTCTATGCGTAGTCGACATCCTGTTCAATATGCATTTGGCTGGTGGTTAATGCCGCCTTGGGAGTAACTGATTGCCACAGTGGCACCATTATTATGCATGCAGATTGATTCACGTCCATGGCGTTTTTTCAGCCAGCCTGCCGCATAATGCACACACGCATCCTGCCAGGGACCTGATTGCAGTACAGTCTTGAGTCCCGGAAGCCTTCAGGACTCCCACACAGATTGCACAAGCTTAACGAGCACTTAAGGGTCTTCGCTGGGAGCTGCTTAGCTCTAAACATCATGTTTAATTAAATATGAGCTCATAATCGAGTTTGTCCATTTAGTCTGTTGGCCAGCTGCCTCCCCCCGTTTTATAGCCACTTTATCTGTTTAATTAAAAGTTTGAGCCTTAATTGAAATCGCTCTGATATCTAAGCTGTCACAATTGCTATCTGCCGTTTGAACGGAGGGAAGAGAAGTGATTAGTGTAATTGCTTGAGGCTGGCTTCAAAATTATTATCCGATATATAGATTAACTTGAAGGAACTTAAGCATGCAGACGGTTGGGAATTTATCTCGGGCTTAATCAATCAACTCAGGCACTGAATAAAATATTCGAGTCTGGTCGAAGATAAACTAAGGCTATAAACGAGCGGCATCCACATTTTATTGGCTATTCCCTGTGCGGCTCGTTCGGAAAGGCCTCTGTCACTTTGGGTTTTATTTGGCTTTTCCACGGAAAACATATTTATTAGCAACATGTCGAATGGGTAATGCAATCGAGGACTTAAATCAGTTTTCGCCCAGAGTGTGTGTGCGAAAGTGAATTTCAATTTGAATAAACGAATGTTGCAGGGTTAATATTTGATTTATTTTCGGGTGACCTTTGTCAAATAGACACACACCAAATCCGACATTCCTGCCCACACATCCTGCACAGTATGGGTCAAAGTGGTAGAACGAAAGGGAATTTCACTATTTACATGACATTTAAATACTATTAAACTTGGATCTCTAAATATAACCTTTTATTTGTTAGAACTTTCCTAAATCTATTTTTGATACGGTGATTGCCATTACCAGAAAGGTAGGTATAACCATTTAAAAAAAATGGAAAAGTAATGTTGGTTATTTTAACTAAAGTTGCCTTTTTTTGAACTGGAGGAAAGATTTTTAGGTATGGTATTATAGGCAGTGTACTACATACAATACATGTATTCAGTACTTTTAAACTTACCACCTAGGTACAAAATATATATAGCTATCCTTTACCTTACCTAGATAAACCTTTAAATATTTTGAAATATTTTTAGTGTTTGTTTTTATTTTTAAAATTAGTTTAATATATGCTAATAAAAAGTATCATAATTTTACGTCAACTTAAAGATTAGTTAGTTATACTTATGGTTTGTACTTTATTTCGCCAATATCTTGTTCCTAGTTCCAAAAAAAAAGTAGCTTTCCCAACAGTATTTATACATGAATACAAATATATGTATATATTTTACGATTATATTTGTGTGACCTCTGGTATAAAAAAGAATCAAAATTCACACATTTGCTCTTTGTGTGTTTTTGACTTGGATGTAGCCCGAAATTCAATTTGCATATTTCCATTTCCTTCTCTAGCCAATTGCATAGAAGTTTATAATTTCCATTTGTGTTGCGTTCCTCGACAAGCAATTTGCGCTTTGGAACTCCATTGCCTCGCAAGGTCAGGACGAGAGCAGAGAAACCAATTCAGAATAATCTGCCCAATTACTGACAAGGTCAGCCCAGTCATTTTGGCAACGCACAAACGATTATTACTGCATTAGGAGTCGGCAAAGAAACGCACATGTGAGTCGCATGCAGATAAGCAAACGTAATAGAAACAGATTATATCCCATCCCCACAGGAACCCACACTCGAACCCACATCCCATGTCCCATGCCACATCCCATGTCCCATGCCACATCCCATCCCGGTTCCCCGCCCTCGGTTCCCATTCATCCGCAACATAATCGTAAAAGTCAAAGCTAAGCTCAATGCTAGATTGCTGAATTTTGTAGGGAGGGAGCATTTTAGAGCAGTCGTCGGGGAATGAGATACAATAGAGATGCTCTTCTTCAAGGATGTGACTCTTAGCAAGGGGACTTGACATGACTCAAGCAAATTAAAGTCGATAATACTAAGAAATTTTACAAGTATCTAATAAGAAGTAATCAAAGTCGCAATGAAAAATGTAGTTTAAACTATTAGGTAATTCAATTATTGAAAAAACTAAGTAGTTTGAACGACTGCAAAATCTTTCGAAAATTCTATTGATCGGATATCATCTAACATTTATGCTTTTCTTGAATCATATAATATTTAGTTAGTTTTAAGTTATATATTTATTTAGCATATATGTATAAGTTAGCAGTTCGTTGTTAACTATAAATCAATCAATAAAAATATTTTGGTGCTTCTCTTCAATTAACAAATTTTTTGTTCACCAGAAATCCTCAATTATTTTTTTTAATACTGTAATTAAGAATGTTCCCAAATGTTCTTTATCTTTGCAAAATAAATGTTGACCATATTTTTGATTATTTAGACTTTTCTGAAACTTAACTTAACTGATTATTTAAAAAGTGCTCAACTTTATTAATTATATCAATAAAAATGCTATTTCTTTACAGATATTATAGTCTTAAGTTCATGTTTCCTTGATGATCTGCGGCTTGAAATCCTGTTCCGATGCTTTTTGAAAAGACTCAGCATAGAGTGGAAGCCTTTGGGTCATACGGAAGCCCCAAAAGTCCTTTACCTGGCGACACAGATTTAGATCCAGTTCAGCAACCAGTAAACCATCTCTGTCCCGCGACAAGCTCTGGAAATATAACAGTCAGAATAATTTAAGTAGTACTCAGGTGACTAATCAACATTTTTTTTGAAACAAATTTTATAAATGTCTGAACTTACCGGGGTCCTTGAACCATCAGGAGCAGCGACATACGAGGATCCGTAGAAGGGCCCGAACTCCTTGTGGGCCTTTTTACCATCCCCAGATGTGTACTCGTGTGGGAACTCCTCCGTTCCCACGCGATTGATCGGAACTGTGAAGTAGCTATTGGCGATGGCCGCATTGCGGGCCTCAATGCTCCAGAGTGGCTCCGATAACCGACCGATCGTGGCCGAGGGATTGAAGACGATCTCTGCACCATTCAGCCCAAACATCATCCAGTTCTGCGGGTGATGACGCCCATAGCAGATATTAATGGCCAGCCTGCCGAACTCCGTCTCGAAGACCGGGTGCCCGGTGTCGCCCTCCATATAGTACGTGGATTCATTGAAGTCGCCCACCCGCGGAATGTGGTTCTTGCGGTGTTTGCCCAGGTAACGACCGCTGTTCGAGATGACCACGGCCGTGTTCCAAATGGTCTCGCCGTGATCTATGTCGCGCTCCAGGATCGAGCTAATGATCACCATGTTATAGGCCTTGGCCAGCTCAGCTAGCATCTTGGTCGTAGGACCGTTTTCGGCCTCCTCGGCGAACTCGCACCAGGGAAACTTCTCACGAGTGCAGAAAGCAAATGGCATGGCTAAAAAATTATTTGTATTACTTTACTTTGCCAGAAGTTCGGCCGGCTATGCATTTTTAACAATATTTTATCAACAAGTTTATAAAAACAAACAAGATCTAACACTATAGCTGTGTGCCCCGACTATTGGATACTCCCCAGAAATCAATTGGGTTTTACCACAAGCTAAGAGCTTGCACACCAAGAGAGTGTGCACAGCAGACTTCTATATATATATATATGATTGTCCGATTTTAGCGCCTAACACCCCAATGGAAAGGTATCGGTAAAAGAATATGGTGTGCATACCAATACTTTTAAATGATTTGGCTCAGGAGAAAACTAAAATTTATTTTAATTTTTGGACCGGTTTAGTGAAGTGCTCAACTTTAAAAGCCGAATTTCATTTTTGCTTAAAAATGGGGGTGATTGTTAAACAATTTTATTTACAACTTCTTTTTTTTTAATAAAAACATTTGTTCTACGACTTTTTGACAAACAAGCTAGTTTGGCGTTTGCCAGTTTTTTTTTTAAACGGGCCTCACTAATACTTTTTAACATTTTATAAGTTTAGATTCCTCCACTTTTGATTATAAGCAAATGGGCCTACAGTGTCGTTTTCGAAAGTTATTAAGCAACAAAAACGGTAATGGTTTTCAGTTCAGAGCTGCTAAATCTTTTAATTTTTGGAATAGCTCCAAAGGCTTATACACTTCAGCTGGCCGACGTGTGTTCCATTCTTGTTATTTAAGCTTTAAGTCCCTAAATGCATTTTTTTGTTGTTTAAATAAAATTAGAAGTAAAGTGTAATTAAAAGATTTTTTTTTTTAAATATCAACGTAATAATATGGAGTTACCTTGACTATATTTCAAACAAAAACATCCGATATCAAACAAAAACACCTCTTCACGCAGCGAGAGAAAATGCCTCTGTACACCCAGAGAAAAATCATGGTAAGTTTAAATGTTTTCTCTTTGACTTTAATGCTTTCGGTACTGATTTAACCCAAAGGGGATGTGTGTTTAAATTATTTATTTTTAAGCTCGGAAAAACTTTGTTTTGAACTTAAACAATTTGAAGCTTACAGTTTTCCAATTTTACAAATTAATTATTGTAATTAAATTATCATGTTTTTAGTTTAATTATGTTTTTAAAAACAATATTACATTCAAATATAATTGTACTATAAAGTGTTTCTCTGGGTGTAGGCGTACCGAATGGGATCATTTCTATTAATTTCTTTATAATCAAATTAATCTCATTTATATTGATAAAATTTGTTGTCTTGAAAAAAACGCATTACTTAATACGCTAATGTACTCACTCCACGCTTCTTGGGTGCAAATAATATTGCATCCAGCCTCCGCCGCCGCCTTGATCATGGTCTTAACCTTGTTCCAAATGGCCTCCCGCTGTTTTTCAATGGGCGCCGTAGTGGGAATAGCGATCGAGTTTTGAATGGCGCCAACCCTAACAATTCGTCGTTTCCGAGTTTGCTCTTCTCGGGCAGTAAAGCGATAGCCCTTGATGTCGAATCCATTTTCTTGGGCGATGTCTTTTGCACTTGCGGGCAGCTCCAGCGTTTGGCTACATACATAAGGTTAGATTTAAATTAATATTATATTTAATAAATAAAAACGATTTAAAAGCAAGAAATTCGGAAATTGTAAATATATTAATCTTGCTTCCGAATTCTGTCTATGAAAACTATATGATATAGTCAACCGATCCGGCAGTTCCAACTAATATGTTACTTGAAACCAAGAAAGTAATAAAACGTCGGCATGCCGAAGTTTATATACCCTTGCAGAAATGGCAAAAATTACTTAGTCTTTTAAACATCTAAATTTCGATTTGTATGTTTATATGTAAAAACATTAAAGCTATAATTATTTTCAGTTAATTATTAGATTGTTCCTATGACAGTTATATGATATTGTTCTCCGATTTAAATAAAATTAAAAGCGTAATTCTAAATTTTTAAACCATTACTATGTCCAAAAGAACTAAAACAAAAAATTCAAAATTCGAGAACGTAAAATTTTTTCATTTTTGTTGTTGTAATATTTTTATTGTTCCCCTGGGAGCTATACGATATAGTAGTCCGATTTTAGTCAAACTTAAACTATGATTAAGAAACAAAAAACAATAACTATATCTCGAAGAAGTATAAAAAAATAAAGAACAGAAAAGTTATAATTTTTGATAAGATAGTCGTCCGATCTGGATCGTTCCGACTTCTAACTACCTGCAATAGAAAGACAATTTTTGGGAAAGTTTCATGCAGATAGCTATAAAACTGAGAGACTAGTTTGCATAGAAACGTTTGCAACAGACGGACGGACAGACGGACGGACAGACATGGCTAGATCGACTCGCCTAGTGATGTTGACCAAGAATATATATACTTTATAGGGACGGAAGTGTCTCCTGCGTTGCAAACCTCTGACTGAAATTATAATACCCTCTGCAAGAGTATAAAAATATGTCTTTTGGGTATATTTAATCCAGATAACTTTAAAACTGAGAGATAAGTTTGCTTCTAAATAGACATTCGGATAGATGTGCATGGCTAAATCTTTACATATGATGATGATCAAACATATATATTTACCTTATAGTATTTATGAAATTATAATATTCTTTGCAATGATATAAAAAGGTTTGATGCTAAAACTAAAACAAACACATGCACAAACGCATATACCCTAAGAGATTATTATAGCCTGGCCAGATGTTTTTTACGCTGTGACCCCACTTTGACTCTTTGAAATTTTCGAGATAATCGCCATGTGGTGACTTCGTCAAAACTGGCTGAAATCGGTAGCTTATCATTTATAGTCGCAAAAACTAAGAAAAATCTTTTGAACCTTGTAAAACGTCAGAAAGTTAAACTAACAGGTTTCCCTATTTTCTTGTTTTGTTTTGTTTTGAGGATCACTTCACTCTCATCACCAGATGTTCTCTTTGAAATATACGTAACTGTGTAGATACAGTGAAACGGAATATATTGTATTAGTTCTATATATAAATGTATTTCGATCGTTGAATAAATAAACGGAAAATTTAGAGACAGTGATCGTTCACCACTGGAATTGCTTTAATTATCCTATGTGTTTGCCAAAAAACTGAGATAAAATATTTTTAGAATTATCTGAAGATATATTTTATGGTCACCACACATGATGTTCTTACTTTGTCAGGCGTTCTTATCATAATTGCTTTTCAGCTGTACTCACTCTTCTTCCACACCGTACAAAATTCGCTTCACCTCCCTTAGTTCGTCAGCAGGCAAATGCTTTTCCAAGCATTCATTCAAATTTTTTAGTTCAAACGCCGACATTGCTCTTAATTCACAGCAGCAGAAAATTTAAATAAACAACCATATGCGTCCAGCGCTCTGTATTGAATGATTCTGCCGGCGATCGTTTCCACTTGTTATCTCTGCCTCACAGCGCTCTCTCTATTTTTGTATTATTTTATTATTTTTCTCTCACATCTTCTCTCTAGCGGGTACAGAAATTGTGAATAGACACACCCATTGGCATTTAAATAGAATGCCTATCGCTTGAAATGCTTCGATATATTTTCGAAAAAGACTTGTTATGTATTTTCCTCTAAAAAATAAAAAACTATATATGAAAACTGCAACAGCATCTTTTGTGTGGAAGAACATGAGAGAAGTGGTTTTATAAACCAAGTGGTTTATTTGACCTACTTATTATACCCTTGCAGAAGGTATTAAATTTTAAGTCAAAAGTTTGCAACGCATTGAGGGTGATGTTCTCCAGCCTCTCCACCAACCGTAAAGTTCACATTTTTAATTTACTTTTGGGCGTTATTTATGCTTAAACCAATTGGCTAAGCTAAAGAAAAATGTTGATCGTTATTATTTCGAAGCGATGAGCTCGTTAAACAACTTATACTTAAGTCCCTTTCCAAAATGTGCAAAGAAATCCTGTGTAAGCTGATTTTCTCAAACTTTTGTAAATATTAAATCAGTTTCGCGCATATCCCTGTCTTTGCAGCCGAGCATCTCTGATGTCAGCCACTTTGCCTGAAAGCTGACAGCGTTTGGGCCATTTTGTATTAGAAAAGATTAACTTAAAGCCGAATGTGGGTCGTTGGTGCTCGAAGGCAATGCAAATTGCCCGAAATTTTTCTCGGGCGAAAACAGTTTGTTTGTCTAGTTCGGATGCTTCTTGGTACGCTTTTTGTTTTCTTTTCCAGTTGGCAACTCAATTGAGTGTAAAACAATTTCATTAAATTGACAGTCGACGCGTTCCTTCCCGCACACCCAACTATTCACCGCGTGTACGAGTGTGGGTTTGTGTTTGCTTTATCGAACGGTTTCATGAGGACGGCGTGTCCTCCGTTTGGCCACATTCATTTATTGAACAGTGGCAGAAAGCCCGGTTTCAAACGATCCGAACCTCGTCATTGTGGATGTGTCGTCTGCTCGCCGGTTTTGTTCTGTTTTTTACTATTATTTTATTGTCTGGCTGCAACGTTCATGTGGGAGTTGGGAGACCATAGCTCGAAGCCCAAGGATCGAGGACCAAGGACCAAGGACCTTCTTGCTATTGCAATTTATCGCATACGCTCTGGAAACATGTTCGCAGGCATTTTTATCATTTCCGCATTTATATGGTTTCCGCTTGAGCTGCAAGCAAACTAAGAAGTGGCTTTCTGCCTTATTGCCCCTGAGAATCCCCTATATCCTGCGTCCACTATTCGCCATCCTCCATCCTTCAGGATGTCCTAGCCGCTGGAACCGAAACCGAACCTCGCTCAGCCGAATGAATTGTTTAGGTTTAATTTATTGTACGGAGATTGGTTATGGGCTTCTGGTCGGGTCAAAATCACGAAGTGGCACACACATTGCACTGCCCGAAATGAATGACCCAAATAAGGGGGAATCTGTGGGAGGTCCAAGGCCGAAGTTCGACAAAGTTTCAATTTTCCTTTTGATGAAATCAATTTATTCATAAAACCAAGCTGCATAAAGATAAATGGAAATGTCTGTGATTTCTGAAACTATCTTAAACAAAGAAAGAAGTTTGGAAATTGCTATGGAGAAAGTTAATTAAATTGAGCTAAGGTCAATATTAAAATTTAAACTTAACTAAATTCATTAGCAATGGAAACAAAAGTGTATGGTTAGACATAAAATTTAACTTCCTTAGTTATTGGTTATTTACTTTATTAATAAACACGTTTGAAGAAAATAAAATTTAAAATAAATCCATTAAGTTTAAAATTATTTGTAAAAAAACTAATTAAACCCAAAATTGTTTTGTAAGCTAAAGTCATTATTTTTAGTCATTGCTTGGCTAATTCAAAAGCATGCAGAAGGATCTTTGTAGTTTTTCAATTTTCAAGTAATTGGGACTAGTTTTTAATTTCATAGGCGAAAGTCCGAAAAACTATAATGACGTAATTTATCGTATTCATTTTTAAACTGAATAGCTGAACGTTTTCATATTATTGTAATTCATGAATATTGTAATAGCGTTTACAAGTTAAGTATTAACAGAAATGGCCAACATGAACTGGGTGCTCATAAATACAATTTCCCCCGGGCTGAAAGCACTCTCTCAAACTTCTGCCCAGTGTAATTTTCAATAAAAAGTATAACACTCGAAGGGACAGGAAGCAAAAAATTACAACTCTTACATTGTGTCTGCTGCCAGATCTCCTCCGTTAAAAAAATTGTAAAAAAGGGAGAGAAGGGCCCGAAAAGCAGTGGACAGAAAAAGGGGCAGCGAGACTTGTTAAGGGTCAGTAATAAATCTCGGCAGATTGTGCTGTAACTTAAATTAAATGCTGCACCATCGGTAGGCCAATGGGCTACTCGTGTGGACTTCTGACAGCCGCAAAGGAAAACTACGAGGAGAATGTCAGGAAAAGAATGAAAATGGCGCCGCACGCAGCCGACTTGAAAAAACGGGAGGCGAAAGCGCACTGAGACGTGAGCTAGGCGAAACATGAAACCAAATTAAATTGAGTTTTCCAAAACAAGCGGCTAAATAAGCCGCAATTGCTGGCCCTTGCGCAAAGATCCGACTACTTTCCTCGACTGCCATGTCTCAGTTTTTGCATATGCAAAAGTCAGGCAGTCAGGCAGTCAGGCAGTCAAATACGGTCTGCACGTGGCAAACAAAACTGTTGGCCACTTTTTAGCAGAAAAACGGTAAATTTATGGCTGCCAGCATTTGCGTTTTGGCAACTTTTTGGACACTCCCCCATCCGAATCAGATGAAAATATTACATTTCCCACACGTAGCGCATAGAAGAGTTAAATTGTTAAAAAAGATAAAATGCAAACAAATGAGTTTTCCAATCAAAACTCGGTTATAATGGGGTAAACTGAGCCGTTACCGACTATTCAATTTGCGTTAATGGGCGAAATATCGGTTGGGCTCCCATTTATGGCATGAATATTTTACCGCCAGGCCAAAGAATTTCGCAGGAAAATCGGCTTACATCTAATTTGATTTTGCCAAAGTATATTTTCATGGAATGGGAGCGAACGAAATTTCGTTTGATTTATTTCGTTCCGGTGCATGTTGATATTCATGATAAATTGGTAGCTTTGCGTCAACCGCACTGCCTTTTATTATCACTACAATTGGTTTTTGGCCGAGCAATCAACCCCGAAAAACCAATCTAAAATTTTCCACCAAAAACTGAATTAAGGGGGCCGCCAGAGTCGCAAATTAATATGCTGGCGAAACTATAAAATTGAAATTATGACAGCATCCAACTAATGAACAGCGATAAAAATAAATACAAGCGCTGGCTTTCCAAACTGCCGGAGAAAGTTCGCCACTTGCACCTGAATGACTTTCGAGCCAGCTCCCAAAAACTATGTCAATACATACATTCTGAGCCAGGGTTCAGAGTCATTGCTTCGAACTCGTAAAAACTTTCTGAAGTTTGCGCTGCCAAAAGTGTAGCATGCTCTTGTGCGTCTCTTATCGCGTCGACTGAAATCCAGCCGGTCTGCCGAGCACTTCCGAAAGGAGCCAGGAGCCGAAGTCCCTTCGGAGCTTTTTTCTCTTAGTTTCCGTGGCTTTGCAGACTCTCTTAGCGTGGGAGTGCGATGGGGATATATTGCTTGCGCCGCGAAAACGAGAAGGCAGCAATAAGGGCGCACTGCTCGCACACTGAAAGCTCCGCTACGGATGCCACTTGTGACTCCTGGGAACAGAAATCTCTAGTAAAGCATTCTGCCATTGAGTTTGTCAACTCAAAAAATATAAATTGTGCGTTTTAGTTTTCTGACTTATCTTAATATTCTAGGGCTGCAATATTGATCTATAGATAAGCACACATAATAAAAATTAAATTTTTAATTTTTAATTTATTTGTTTTATTATAATGATTTTCAGAATCTTAAAATATGTTTCCTTTGAATACGGATAATTCCCTAATAGAAATGCGATACAAAAAAATTTTACGGTATCATAAAGTTATCGAAGCATTTAAACTAAACCATACAATATATTTTGCTGTTTAGATATTTGCCAAAAAAAAATGTTTCTCATGTAAAAATGTATCTCCGGTGCAGAATACTATTAAACTATTATTAAAAATAAATTAAAATTAATAAGATTAATTATAACAATAAATATTATATATAAGTAATAATAATAACAATTTTGTTAGATTAAGAAATATCTCGTTATAGTTATTAAATCAGTTTTAATATGTTCAATCTGTTTTGACTAATGCATTAAATATAAGCTCAACCTAGCCGCACTAGTATTATAAATAAATAATCAAAATAAATAAATAAACATAAGCTAAAATAATGAGTCAGAAAAACTCTTTGTGTATTATTATTATTATAATCCAGGCGCAAGAAAATTTTCTTAAAAATAATTTGTGAGATGTCATTTAGTTTTTTTAAAGGCTAACCATTTTTGATATTGTATACAATAATTAATTAATTAATTTAATTTTATTAAAATCGGAAAACGATATCATAAAGCTGCCATAGGAACTATCGAATAATTGAGCTGGAAATCATCATGTCTTTTAACATATACGCAAGTAAATCATAATCAATAGCTTCAAGGGTATATGAACCTCGGCTTGCCAAAGTTTGCTTCCTTTCTTGTCGAAACTATAATACCCTCTGCAAGGTTATAAAAACAACTTTAAAACCTATATCCCATGACAGGGTTACGGATATGATGTGGTTTTTCTTAAAAACTACCGACTTCTTAAGTGTTTTTGGTAAGATTCCAAGCGTATAGTTATAAAATATTTGGAATTTCAGCACATAAAACTTAAGCCTTAAATGTTTTTTTTAAGTGTAAGCTGTGAGCTTGTGTGTGGTAGCACATGAAACATTTGGCATTGTTGGTAGGCGATGTTGACTTGTT